GTCGACGGCGTGGTTGGTTGTTAAACTCAACCCCTATTACTATTATACAATCATATGAAGGATTACCCAATACAAGGATTGTATAATCACAAACCCCAATCATAAGATAATCACATATAACATGATGATGGTCAATTTAATCCTAACCAATTCATTCAATATTTCAATCTTATCAATCCCATCAACATTCCCAAACAAGGCCCTATTTTTTTTAATAAATACTCCCTCCGTTTCAAAATAAGTGTCAATTTAGCATTTCGAGGTATGACAAATTTTTTTTGTCCTACTTTACCCTAACAATAATGAGGTGATAAAGAGAAAATGACTATTTGTCAAATACGATTTTTTCCTCCTAAAATCATGACTATTTAATAACTTTGTTAAATAGTGTGCATCTACCATCTCTCTTATTATTGAAAAGGAGGAAGTATATCAGTCATATATTTATTAGAATGTGTAGGTAAAGAAGAGATACTTATTCTTTTGCTAATCATCATTCGAATTTCTCCGACAGCTGTTTATATATTTCTTTTGCAATTAGCAGATATCAAGACGAGGTTATCAATTTGCCTCTGGCTGGAATCGAGGCAATCTTGTCGAGCGACGACCTCCAGGTGGCATCAGAAGACGCAGTGTATGACTTTGCAGTAAAATGGACAAGAACTCACTACCAAAGACTCGAAGACAGAAAAGACATCCTCTGCACACGTTTAGGCAGTCACATCCGTTTCCCTTACATGACTTCCCGAAAGCTAAGAAAGGTTCTCGCATGCCAAGACTTTGACCAAGACTTTTCAAAACAAGCAGTGTTAGAGGCCTTGTTCTTCAAGGCAGAGGCCCCACACCGTCAGAGAACTCAAGCAATCGATGACTCATCAACCTCCACGAGCCGTAGGTTTGTTGAACGGGCCTACAAGTACAGGCCCGTTAAGGTTATCGAGTTCGATCTGCCACGTCAGCAGTGCGTGGTGTACTTGGATCTCAAAAGGGAAGAGTGCTCGAATTTGTACCCATCTGGTAGGGTTTATTCTCAGGCTTTTCATTTGGGCGGACAAGGGTTCTTTTTGTCTGCACATTGTAATATGGATCAACAAAGCTCGTTTCATTGCTTTGGGCTGTTTCTTGGGATGCAAGAAAAGGGTTCGGTTACGTTTGCTGTTGACTATGAGTTTGCTGCGAGGTCAAAGCCTTTGGAGGAGTACATAAGCAAGTATAAAGGTAACTATACTTTTACGGGTGGAAAAGCGGTGGGGTACCGGAATCTGTTTAATATTCCGTGGACTTCTTTTGTTGCCGAGGATAGTCTTTATTTCATCAATGGGGTGCTCCATCTTAGGGCGGAGCTTACTATCAAACGTGAAATTACGACTTAGTCCCTTGATTTCTTGAAACCCTCTTGTCTTTTTGTCGAGCTCGTTGTTTTGTTTTGTAGTTGAGAGATGATCAGTGTTGCAAGAGCTGGAGCATGGATTTTTTACTAACTACGAAAGCTGAATGTACCGTAACCCCAGGTGCCAATTCGACACTATACAGATTCTTGTGATGATGCTATGTTTGTATATAGGGTTGCTGCCTTAGTTTTTAGGAGTGTTCTTTTTCTTTTTCTTTTTCTTTTTTTTTTTCCCCTTTTTTTTCTTGCTTCCACAGAAATAATTGAGATGTGGATTTATCCTCTTTTTGTTTGTGTGCGCGTGGGCAAAATCTCATTCATAAAATGTGTATTTGTTTTCTTCTTTTTCTTGCTGTTATTTTGTTTGGATGCTGCAGCTTGGAAAAACAAGTTGGAAGTGTTGTTTGGATTTTTAGAGTTTAGTGAAGATGATGTATTGTGCTAAAGAAATAATAATATCTTAGACTATATCTCTTAATTCCATTTAACTATAGGAAAATTTGTTTGGAGTTAAAGATGTCTGGTTTCGCTCCGAAATTTTTCAATTTTTGAACAATGATATTCATTTCGAATTCCAAAATATTCCGCATTCAAGATTTTAATATTTTTTTTTTATTTTTATTTGAACATAAATATATTTTTTTTCAATTTGGATTTATTATAAATTTTTTCTTTAAAATTCTAAATATTCCAAATTTTACAAAATTGTTTGGAACAAATTTAAATTACTTTTTTCGCTTAAAAGAAATAAGTGCAAATTTCACTCTCCCTTCTTGTACTGTGACTAAATGTTACTTTATTCCATTCTATTTTCGATTGTATCGATTTGTTCTATTGCACTTGAAAATTTGTCTCAATGTAGCCCTCACCATTGAATTGCATGGGAGCAAATCGATGCAATGGAGAATAGAAAAGGATAAAGTAATAGCGAGCCAAAGTAGTAGGGGTAAAGTGGAATTCGCCCAAAAAATAATCAGAATTATATATGTGTTAAAGATGGCCGATCTGTCAGATTCACAACGGCCCATCGGGCCGAATAAGATAGTAAAAAAAGCCCGAAATGAAAATTCCCGTAAATTCAACGCTAAATACTGGAAAGAAAGATACGTGTAGCATTTCCTATCCTTCCTCCACAACTAGGACACAAATATATATATATAAATAAATTAGGAAGCATTCTCACGCCTCTCCCGAAAGAAAAAAAAAAAAAATCATCTTGAGAAGCAAAGCGGTTGCCGTCGGATCTAGGGTTTTGGTGCAGAGGTATGCCGAAGAACAAGGGTAAGGGAGGTAAGAATCGGAAGAGGGGAAAGAACGAAGCCGACGACGAGAAGCGCGAGCTTGTCTTCAAGGAGGACGGCCAGGAATATGCTCAGGTTACACGTATGCTCGGTAACGGCAGATGCGAGGCCACCTGTATCGACGGCGTTAAGCGTTTGTGCCATATCCGTGGCAAGATGCACAAAAAAGTCTGGATCGCCGCCGGCGATATTATACTCGTCGGCCTCCGTGACTATCAAGTATGGATTTTTTCTCTCATTTTTTTTCTTCTTTTGATTATTTGGTTTATTATGTTTAGATTGAGGATTTTTTTGGTTGTTTTTGTTAATTTCAGCTCAATTGATTATCATGATTAATCATTTGAAATTTAATTGATAAAATCCAATTTGGATTGTGTGTGTGTTGTTGTTGTTTGAACAGCTCCCAAAATCATGATAAGCAATGTGAATTTCTCAAATTTCATGAAATAATTCCAATTTGGATTGTGTGTGTGTGTGTGTGTTGTTTGAAACAGCTCCCCAAAATCATGATAAACAATTTGAATTTCTTAAATTTCATGAAATAATTCCAATTGGATTGTGTGTGTGTGTGTTGTTTGAAACAGCTCCCCAAAACTCATGATAAACAATGTGAATTTCTCAAATTTCATGAAACAATTCCAATTTGGATTATGTTTTCTATTCCGATTTTTATCCAATCGAAGCACATGAAATTTAAGTGGATTCGATAATAATCTAATTTTATCGTCGGCTGGTACCTAAACATAGGATGACAAGGCTGATGTAATTTTGAAATACATGCCCGATGAAGCGAGGCTATTGAAGGCTTACGGTGAGCTGCCGGAGACAACTAGGCTTAACGAGGGTATAGGTGGAGTTGACGAAGAAGATGATGGCCCCGGTGACGATTACATTGAATTCGAAGACGAAGACATCGACAAACTCTAGACGAGAGAGTTTGTTTGCGAAACCATGGTACACTTTGTTTTAAGGTTTCCATTTGTTTTGTCTTGAAAAAAAAAGTATAATATCTATCACCTCTTTCGGTTCTTTATTAGGATACAAGAAGAAAAATTAGAGGGGTTATCGTATTTGTAATGTTTTCGAGTAATATGATAAAAAGCTTTATTTGCGAGTTTTTTCATGTATGAGTGTGACACAATATGCAAGGGTTGGAATAACAAAGTAGCTTCTACATCCTTCGTTTCGAGTTTTTTTTTTTTTTAAATTGGTGATTACTGGAAAGTTTCCTCATGATTGTGGCTGAATGAGTGGTCTTCATCTGTAATTTGGTTTATATCTTAGAATTTGGCTGATTATCCTTTGCATTTTGGGTAAATTTACAAAAGAACCCCTCATTATCCAATAATTACATCCATCCCCTTGAAATTTGTAAATATCTTACGTTAACACCCTTTTGTAGGGGGGTGAGTGTAAGAAATTTAAAAATTGCATGGGGTTGGATGTAATTTCTCAAACAATAGGGGCTTTTTGTAATTACACTTTACCTCAGGGAGGTGGTTGTAATTTACCCTTGTATCTTTCTCTTTTGATTGGTTGATTTTCTTGATATTTTGACCCATGTAATGAAAGTTACATATGAATCAAAAGACAAAGCTTAAACCAACTGCAAATTTCAGAACCGAAGTAAGTAAATATAACATGGATAATTATTTCTTAAATAAATATCTAGAAAATGGAAGTAAACATTATTATTATTATTATTATTCAAAATATGACAAAATTTAAGAGTGAAAAACAAATACAAGATGAACCTATTCTACACTTCAAACACCAAGTACCTCTTATAAATAGTACATATATAAATTAAAGATTCATTAATCCGAAGTCGAGATGATGATGTGGCGACAGTTCGTTTACTCGGTACCAGCGATCTTCTTCTTTAGTGCTTCGATATCTGTCGCTAGCTCTTTTCTGCTCGACTGTAGGAACATAGTCAAGATTTATCAGCCAAAGGCATTCATGGTTTTGCAACAACTCTTCGTACCCACAATTTTCTTGCAATATATATGTTATGTCATTACAGAATAATCGGAAAGCTGTACCTTGAAAAGAAGGTAACGGTACACGAACCATCCAGTGTATCCAAGCCCAACCAACTCCAACACCTTTGGGAGCTGAACGTAATAATCGTGGAAACCAAGAGTCGTATTTTAGTTAAACAATGCATAACAGAATGAAATACCAATTTCACGCAACACGTAAACGATGCATATAGAATTCGAGGAACGTACCAAAGGGACTGAGTTGACTGCACCAACTACAACTGAAGCCAACCAAACTCCGACAACTGCACCACCTCCGTAAAGAAGTACCGTTGACTTGTTTTCAACTCCGTCCCACTATAACACCAAAATAATGTGAGATTTTTATCGAGTGTTATAAATGACAAAGCAATTTTCTGCACTAATTTGGGCATGATGAATAACTACCTTTTCCTTTAGGTCTGTGAACAATTCATTTGGATCGAAAGTTGACTCGTCCGATGAAGAAGCCTTGACCAGAACCCGAGTTGACCTCATTTGATCTGTTTCAATGCCGTAGCAACCAACATAAGCACACACAAACATCAAGCACAATTATATTATTTCGTAAGCCTCGTTTGGTTGCCAAGATAAGATAATCGGACCCAATTGTATTATTGGACCTTGGAAAGTTCCAGAAGAAATATGCCTAAAAGGCATTGTGGGTCGATCCGGCAAATTATTGGGGATACCAAACATCAAATAAAGTCCAACTATTTAGTTAATAATGGCTAATCTCCCCAACCAAACTGAGGCCCAAATGTTTAATTTTAATGTAATGTGAAGTACTTGAAATTATATTGTCAAATTGACGGACCATCCACGATAAAAGTGCAAGAAAGCAATCGAACTCTTGTAAGCTAGATTTCAGCAATATAAAAGAACATGTTTATTCTAGCTAGGGCTCGAAATTAAAAACGAGCTACTCGATACTTGAATCTTGATATCGGAATCGTTGTATTAAAAGCTCGTTCGAGGTTGTTTTAAGAGCATAGCGAATCAACATTGAACATATAATTTTTGTATGAAAAGATATGAAAGTCGAATAGAGCTCAAACTCGATTAGAAAACAAAATGATGAAATATGTACGAAAAATCAAGCTCGATTCGTGTTCGGCTCTATTAAAGCTCGGTTCGATTGCTTGTCAAAATAAGCTCAAACACAACATTTATTACAAAAACATTAATCAGGTAGGTACATTTATAATTAACCTAGAATCTATATATCTTCATCTCAATATGATAATATCTAACTAACTAAGCTCACAAGTCAATTAAAAGCAATAAAATCAAGATTTCAATTCAGATAGGAAAAAAAATGCTTATTATAAGATTGTTTGTACCTTTGAGTGGCTTGAATGGGGTGCGGCGGCGGTTAGGCAAAGGAGAGAAGACGGCGGCGTGAGTGGTGGCGGCGGGTAGGCGGTGCATCAACACGGCGGTGGCCGCCATGGAAGTGGAAGCTGCCGCTGCCATTTTCTTGAGCTCTGTTTAACCCAACAAATTATCTCACTGAAATTGCTTTAGCCTCCGTTTCTCTTATCTCTTCTGAAAAAGAACTATTTTTTTGTTGCAAATTATTTTGGCACAACAAAATATCTTTTGCTATCCACAATATTTTTTTTTTGGGATAAATGCCAGATGATTTTTCAGCTGCTGACACGTGGATATTTTGGGTTTTTTAATTGGTGGATATTATCTTGAATAGCTCTACCTGTATTTACGCTTTTGCCCCTTGAGGTAAAGCTAAATTATGAAAGACCCCTCGTGTTTGGGTAATTATAATTAACCCTCAACTATGAATCTTCTTACATGTCCATTCTTATGGTGTCTAATTTAGTGAAAACTTCTAGATTATGCGGAATATTCTCTAGTTTCTATTTGTTTTATCTCATTCGAGCTCCACATTTTAAACAAAATTATAATAGGATGTGTCTCTTGACTTGTAAATATCAGATTAAGGTACATAAAAAACTATATTTGTGCACAAAACAAGTACAAACTAGAAACATTCTACGGAATCTAAAAAATGATGTTGAATTTAACACCATAAAAGTCGACGTCGTAAGAAGATTCATTATTGATGGATGATTGTAAATTGTAATTACCTAAATAAGATGGATTTTTTCGTAATTTGATCTTACCGAAGTATACCGCGTTCCATTCTAAAACAACATTTAATATACATAAATCCCATTTAATTAAGAAAAAAAGAAAAATTGCCAATAGAATTGTTCTTCAAACACGACAAGTATGGTTCCAAATTAAATATAACATGAATCATATATATTCCCTACTTTATGGGAAAAAAAGTTGTATGTATCTTTAAAAAGAATTAAAAAAATTCAGACAGCACACAAATGACAGTCATGTATTATATCCACATCCCCAACTAATCCACCTAATTAATTAACAACATTCGATTAAACAAACTCAGCAAAACACCAAATCACAACTCAAAAGAGCCTTCTTTTTTCCTATATAGAATATACTCTATACAAAATGACCAAAATATATTCATCGTCTTATTTTTTATCACCTTCAAATCTCTCCAAATTCTTGTCAAACACTCCCATGTTCGATCAAGATCGCCAGATCAAGAGGGTTCTTCGGTAAGATCGTTATCACAATAAATTCGTTTTCGTGCGTTTTTTTCGATTTTTGATCTTACGTGTATCGGTTTATGGAAGGTATGGCGGCGTAAAAGGGCAATCTTGATGGCCGATTGTGTCGTTATTCGTATAATGTTGATCGTTGCATGGTTATGGCAAATTGTTCGAGGATCAGAAAACTACGACGAAAGGGATTCGTTAGATTCTTATTTTTACGGCAATGCATTCGAGGAAATCCACAATCCTCGTACTGGTAGACTATACGATGTTTCTCTCCCCGCAAATTTGTCGGGGGTACAAGTGTCTTTTGTCCGCCTTAGAGCCCGTAATCTGTGGAGAAGCGGTGCTAATCACAGCTTATTCACAATCCCACCTTTGGCATTGCCTTTCCCGTTTGCGAAAAGAGTCGATTTAGTGTATCAAAACCTAGGAAATTGGTCTTCGAATTATTATAGTGTCCCGGGTTATAAATTTGTAGCTCCTGTTATCGGATTTCTAGCCTACGATTCAAATAAAAGCTCGATAAATTACGGACTTATTGAGCTTAAATTAATGGGGGATGATCCCATTATTGTTCACTTTCCGGATATTTTCGTTGAAGAAAACGGTATGAAATGTGTTCGGTTCGACACTAATGGCACGCTTGAGTTGAGCAACGTGGAGACGAAGAATTCGTGTTTAGTGAGAAGGCAAGGCCATTTTTCCGTGGTTGTACCTTATTATCAAGAAAAGAAGGATAAAGTTGTAATTATTATCAAGTGGTGGATGATTGTGGGGATTGCATGTGGTGGAGTTGTGGGATTAATAATCTTGATTGTTGTGATTTTCGTTGCGTACAAGTGGATTAAACGGAAGAGAATCAAGAACATGGAGAGACAAACCGAAAGAAACGAGGGATTGGACACGATTTGGATCGGTCGGAGCAGAATGCCTTCTGCTGCATGTGTTAGAACACAACCAGTTCTTGAAAATAGCTATCTTCCTTAACTTTTAATTTACTTTTTACACTTCTTGAAATTTTATTGTACTTTTAAAAAAAAAATATTCTACTTTTCTTGCCATTGATCAATCATTGTTTAACTGTAATATGTTGTTTGGTAAGTGTGTGTGTGTGTGTGAGAGAGAGAGAGAGAGAGAGAGAGAGAGAGAGAGAGAGAGAGAGAGAGAGAGAGAGAGAGAGAGAGAGAGAGAGAGAGAGAGAGAGAGAGAGAGAGAGAGACTTTATATTTAAGTTCATTTGATTTCATTGTTCAGCATATACATTATTAGTAAACATACAGCTGATTATTGTTGCTGATTAGCAGCATTATTATATATATATATATATATATATATATATATATATATATATATATATATGAGATATTCAACCAATAGGTTGAATATCACAGAGCTGATTAAGAGAAAACTGTGGATCAAAGTAAGAACCACTAAGTATAGCAGATGCCTTAATTTTATTAGCATTTTCAGTCAGATGAATCCCCTCCCAGCTCACGTATTTCTCCGGGTCCCCGCACGCAGAAGCAGATACTTTCTGTCCGTTCATCTCCTTCGTGTTTCCGCAAAATACTTGCGGGTCGAAATTGTACGACCCACCTCCATATCCACAGCATGCAGTAATCCCATGTTCCAACCCTTAAATAAAAAAAACGGAGCACGTTAATCGGCTTAAAGTGAATTATTACGAAATTTTTAGTAGTTTCGAAAAAAAAAAAAAAAAAATTACCATGGGATGTGGGGTTTTGGTAGAGCTCGAGTTGAATGGCGTGATTGTCTACATAAAAGACGTTTGCGCCCCTGAGATCTTCTTGTCTTGCTTGTTGGAGGGAGTCTTTGAGGGCGGAAATGTAATCTCTCACTGCGTTGTTGAAGGAGAACATGCATCCCCATTGGTCGATATCGGATTCTTCGTGCGAGACTTGTGTTATTACTGCTGGCGTAACA